GGTGTTAGGCATTCCCGAGTTCCGTGGTTCTAGCATGGTCGCTCAACTGTTATATTCAGCTTAATTATCTGATTTTAGAACATTTTGAACCTATGTGCAAATTTTAACTTTAACCGCTTTTATTCATTTCTTAGAAGATTGAACGTCATTTAAAACATGTCTTTGGATCGCGCCACATGAAATGCACCCGCAATCCTAAACATATTTTATTCAACGTTTTAAGATTTGATTTGGGTCACATGAAATGCACACCCGATTTTAGGAAAGTAATATTATTAAAATGCGCGCCTAAAGCAACTACGCATTGTTGACTTTGCGAGGGCCATGGAAATTTCGCTAAATGGCACACCCCGAATTCTAAGGATAAAACAAAATTAATTAAAATGAGGGCCGTGCAGTTGTCATTTTTGTTTGGCAGGGCGCGCCTCGAATTATTCTAACAAGAGGTTTCTGAGCTATACTATGAGGGCCATACACTATGTGATCTTAGTTATTTATGGCGCACCTCAATACCATTTGAAATGGTCTAACTTAAATAAAGAGAAAGCCCAAAGAACTCAGCAGACATTTTATGCTGAAACTGAAAACTAGAAATGAGATAAGTAAAAATGGTCGGTTTCCCTTTAAAGCTGAACCCCATGATGTATTGGGCTACAGAACCTATGCCTTTAAGTAATTTGGGCCAACCTCAATAGCAGGCCCAATTTGAACACGCCGGGCAACAAATGAGGAACACAGGATCAAGGTTTAACACCTTATCCTAATTTTGGGCCGGCTAAATTGTGTTTAGGCCCAATAAACCTGGATCAAGCAATACGAGGCACGAGCTAGAGGCTCCTAGGTTCCACACCGAACCCATGTAGCAGCAGAAATCAACTGGTTTGAGACATGACAACAAAAAAATGGTAATTAAAAATTCTCGGCATCATTATCTTTGCAAATGACAAAACCATCGAAATTAACTTATCAAATCTGCTCAATTAACAAGCCAACAGTAGCAACCAACCAACACATTCTTTCTACAATTAGACTCTATGAATTTTCTCAAACATTGATAGGCGCTAAACCAATAATCTCAATTCCAATTTTTACTTGAGTTCCCAGAAACCATACTAAAATTTCCAACCTAATCATTAGTCAATTAAAAATATTCAAGAGCATGTGTAAATTACAGAACATGCATGCACTTAACTTCTGAACTAACCTCACAAATAGACCTTGGAAATTTGAATCCATTTAGACCATTTAACAGCTAGTTTCTAACTAAGTATAACGATGCACATCCAAATCACAGAATGAACAATATTTTATCATAACAACCTCTAATTTCGAGCTACAAGACCAGCTGACATACTCAAGCATACTACAGCATGTTTAACATTCCATTCACACATGAGCTTTTATTTACTATTACATAGCCAACAATCCAAACGTTCCTTCTAAATGGCTAAAACAAACTCAGGCCATTGAGCATGGATAAACAACTTAAAACATTTGAAAGAAGAATAATGAATTGTTTCATAACAGGGAAATTAAAGGCATAAAACAGCAAAAGCTAATAGAAATTCAACATTTAAACAAAGCTTCTATTCAAATTCCAACTCAAAGTTCCAACTCTGTATACAGATTCAGTCTGGTTCTAACTTGTAGCACCTCATTTGTTAACAAATGGTATGAGGAAATACCTGAAAATGTGAAGAAAACAACAGCAAGGTAATCAAGGGTCCAGCAGCAATAACAAGACAGCAGAACCAATCAGCAATTTAAAACCAAATTTCAAACCTAGAAAGTGAGGTAAAACGACCCAGAATACAGTTTAGACCCAAACGATGGACCAGGAAACCTCAACCAAGCTTGATTTTAATTCATTTTTCGAATGTCAGCTAATCAGAACTTGTTTCAGCACCAGGAAAATTTCAGAAACTACTAGAAGAACTCAATAAAACAGTGTTTTTCTGAAGTTTTTAGCCGTCTAGAATTTTTCAGGATTTCTCAGCTCCAAAAATCTCTCCTTAAGCCGCAAGTAACAATGCCTTTATAGGCAAGTTACTAAGGCAGCAAATGTAAGCTAGACTTTGCACTTTACCCCTTTCTTAATTTCCCTTTTTGCTGCTTAGTCCCTGATTTTCTAACTTATTGGCCAAGTAAATCCATTTTCAGCTTCTAAGAAGCTTCCTTAGCAGTTATTAAAAGATTCCCCCAGCCTAAACTTCCCAAACTACCCCCCAAATGTCCCTAAACTACCGCAGTATACTACATGGGTCAAGTTGACCCAAGGTTGAGCCCCAAACCGGCTAATTTTCCTTTTCTCTGGGCTTCCAAATTAACAGAAACTCAACCCAAACTACAAGACCTCCACAAGCCTAACCCAAGTAAAAGAACAGAAATTCTTGACCCATAATTACACAACAAAGAGAAAATCTGACCCTTGATAATAAACAAAAGACCTAAAACCAATAACATCGATTTGATAAAAAATTAATCATGCAATCAAGAACATTTGTTCCATAGACTTAAAAAGATATGGAGAAAAGGATAGACAGTATCAGGATGAGAACAAGGAATGGACAACAAAAAACACAAAAAAAAAACGAAGGAAGTGAATACCCGTTTTGTGCCTCTCGAACTCAACGAACAGAACCGCCCATAAGAACACTGGCCGGCATCCGGGAAATCCAAAATGAATCATAACTTGCATTAATCAATAGCTTCTATCAGAAGCCATTAACTAATGCTAGTTCTGACTCAAATCTAACACAGAAAAACGAAGGAACAAGACTTGACATTCCCGGCTTAATTTGGATCTAACACTTAGGGGATTCTAAGATGTTTTGAAAGAAATTGAGATGGGATATGAGATAAGGGGGTGTGGGGGTTATCTTGGGGTTGATTGGGCACGCCGCCGCCGGGTGGAGATGGCGAAGTGGTGCAAGGCGGCGTCAAGGTTCGTTGATGAAGATGGGAGACAGGGGATTTTGGTCTTAGGTTTTTGGTCGTTTGGACAGTCTTATGCCAAATGGGAGAATCAATTGAAGCCATCAGATGGGATACGATAAAGGGCCAGGATTGACTTGAAATTAGACAACTCAAAACGACGTAGTATTATCCCCCTACTACGTCGTTTCAGAGTCTCAAAGCTAGGGACTTGGACCGGGTCAGAGGCTACACTTGGGCGGATTTTGTTCGCTTTGGGGTAGATCCGTTTGGGCTTGGAGATGACTTAATTAATGTGGCCCAAATCCTCTTTCTTCATTTCCCAATAATTCTTTTTAGTTCCCTTTCTTTTCTCTTTTCTTTTTTTTTTTAATTTTTTGAAAATTAAAACTAAATTAAATTAAAAACCAAACTACCTCATTAAAAATACTAACTAATCCTAAATAATTAACACCATTAATAAATTAAAGAAAAACTACTCGAAAATCAAAAATTAAAATTAAAGGGTGCAAAATGACTATTTTTGTGATTTTCCTTTTTATAAAACAACTTAATTACTAAATAATTCTTAAAATGCAAAATTAACTCCTAAATGCACATGCAAACATTTTTTGTATTTTGTTCACTAATTAAAATGCACAAACAAAAATGCAAACAATTAACAGAAAATGCCACGAAAATCTACAAAATTGCAAACACTGAAAGAAATTATTTTGTTTTGAATTTATGAGAGTAATTCATATAGGGCAAAAATCACGTGCTCACAGATAGTTAGCTGATACACAAGGGAATCCTTGCTGTAATAATTGATATGCAAATTATGTCTGTCTAAAAATATTTATAGGATAGATAGACATACTAATTGATAGAAGAAGAGTGTGATGTATATCTGGAGTAGCCTGGCAAAGCTACTCCTCGGACTCTATTGTACATTTTTTTTTGATATCAATAGAATATAATGTTTAATTAAAAAAAATCTCAAAGTAAATGAAATATAAAATTAGATGAAATCTAATGTTGATCTTAAAGTGAAGTGTTCTAAAGTTTTGGAATTGCCAAGTCTCAACCCTCTCCATTATGCAAATGCTGCTTGTGAACACCTATCACCACTTTCACTTTCTATAACAGAAATGATAAATCAACTTATTCTTGAAATTGCGGTCAACCATATCACGTTTTTGCTCATTTGCAATTACTATTACAAGAAAATCGTCCCTTTTTTAAAAAGGCGTATGTAACTATAAGTATGAGTTTAATTTTCACTATTTTTCTTCCTCCTTTTCTGATCCCCTATGTGATAAGAAGCTTTTTAAATGGGACAACTTGTATCGTCAACTAACCTTGGTTCATGTTCGATGTTCTATTTATAGTGAGTGTAATCAATTTTAAACGTTGTCCAATTGGGAATCTAACCGCAAATATACTAACATGAAAGCTATTAAATCGTAATGTAGATCCACTAATTTTCCAAACTAGAAACCAATAAAATCTTGATTAACACAGTTGAACACCTGTTTGCTTTAACGTTTTAATAGAACTAAGTTGTTTTTGAAGAAAAAGAAATCCTGATTAACACTAATAGCATGTTTGGTCAAGCTTCTAAAATCAGTTTATTTTGAGAAGTGTTTTTTTCAAAAGTACTTTTAAAAAGAGTGCTTTTGGTGAGAAGTAGTTTGTGTTTGGCTAATTAATTAGAAAAGCACTTCTGAGCAGTAATTAGTGTTTGGCCAAGCTTTTGAAAACTGCTTCTAAGTGTATTTTTCTCAAAAGTACTTTTCGAGAGAAGCAACTTATTTCTGCTTCTCCAAAACTGCTTCTGCTTCTCCTCAAAAATATTTTTTTTTTCCTTCCAAAAGCTTAGCCAAATACCTCAATTTTTAGCCAAAAGTACTTTTGACAAAAAAAACAGTTTCGTACCCAAAAAAAACTTGGCAAAGAGGCTATAACTTTCAAACGCCTTCCATTTGGGAATATATCGGCCCACTCCGTGGTGGTCCATCCCATAACCAATACCCATGTGCTTATTTTTTATTTTTTTCAATAAATAGCCATGTGATTATTTCCCTGTTTAAATGGTTTCTTCTTGTCACTATGTGTAGTAGGAGTAATAAATAATTGGGCTTCTCAGTTCCTTTGCTGACATCGCCTCTAATGGTGTCTTACTATTGAAGTAGTCTCTGAAATTATGCATAATATAGCTTTATAATTTATTTCATATATAAGTAGTACTACTTGTTTATTCTGGGTCATATTTTTACCGCCATGGATGTTCAAGGAAGCTCCGATGCTTCTCTTCCTAACCAAAGGTACTGCTTGAAAATTCTTATTGCTCCAACTATTTATAAGGCAATTTTGCCAATCGGGTTTTCCTAGATAGAATATTGTTAGTTGTGGGTACGATAGATTTCTTGTCCTTGTCATTTCTGAGCTATTTATTTTGGTTCATTTGTTATATGGTGATTGATGTTTGATGTTAAATTGGCTTTATCAAATGAATTAATTTGAGCAATTTTTTTCCATTGGTTTTTCTTAAATAAGATTTATATTCGAGGATGAACTTTGAAAAATTGCCCAACCTAGAAACTGATCCACTGAGAAAAGGAATTCTGTAACTAAACAGTGTAAAGCTTCTTCCTTTTTTTCTCCCTTCTATTCTAAGAGTTTAATTTCTTAATCAGTTCACTCTTTTTTAAGATTTAATTTGATAACTGTGTTTTTACCTGCTTTGATTGATTCTTAGTTTGATTACCAAGTTGATGCCACTGCACATTGTGGATTTACATCAAAACTTAAAAGATAATCCAACTCATTGTCTATGGAGTATAGGATACCCCTTTAATCTTTCATTTTTCTGAAATTTGTTAAATCACTCAATTCCTTTATGTAAGATTTACTTGATAACTCTATCTTATCTGGTTTTTTGGTAGATTCTTTGTTGATTAGTTGAGATAATTTGATTGATAATACACCATGACTGTATCACTGCACATTGTGGACATCAAACTTTCAGAAAAGTTCAACCAATTGTCTACAGAATATGAGATTTACGTGAAAGATACAAATGAAACAAAATAGGGCTACTAATTTTCCCTACCGGACTTTTTACCTCAGTAAAACTGCACAGAGAAGCAGAACTGCAAAGCTCTGCATGATCCACGTCCTAACCAATTGTGGATCATATTGTCTTCTCTTTCTAAAGTTGTGTGCCATTAGCATAACACTACAAGATGCATACCTCATGAGGACAACAACAACAAAAAACCCAGTGTAATCCCACAAACAGTAATACTGTGGCTTCGCCAATAACCTCTTCATGGATGAACCTCTCCAGAACACACTGTTTCAAAACCAGTTAGAAGTATATTTGCAAAATTCATCTATATCGTGCCATTTCTAGTCTAAGCAGGGGCGGAGGAACAAGCCGACCTATGGGTTCGGCTGAACCCAGTGGTTTTGCTCAAACAGTATATTTGCTGTTTTTAATTCATGAAATATGTATAAATATTAAATTTAGAACCCAGTCATTAACACTTGAAGTCGTGATCCTAAAATCCAGAACCCATAAGGTTGAAATCCTGACTCCGCCTATGAGTCTAAGATAGATCACCTGGACGATATCCTAAGATGCTTGGCATCATATTATCAAAGAAGTTCAACTACTTGGGCTTCCTTATCGTTGTAATCTGCAGCGATCAAGGAAACTAATATTTCACAATTAAGTTCCTACATCGCATATCCAACCACAGATGTGTACGGTTGCCAGCAATCGTAGGACCAACATTTCTTTTGAACTCACTCCATCAATTCATGATTCCTTTCTGTAAAGTTCGTCCTGTACAAGGTCATGACCTACTTGTAGAATCATTCCTATTGCTGATATACGTATCATGTGAGGATCTCCCTCTTCCGCAGAGAATTCTCTTTGCAACTACACCTCCAAAGCCATTTCCCCAAGATGAACTTATTGCAGATGAGAGAAGTGCGAATGTCCAGGCTTCTCCCCTCCCCTCAGCTAGAGTTGTTACCTTATCCCCTTCCACCAGATGATATCTCCTTCCCCCTTTGCCATCCAATGAGAAGCCTCTCATTATCTTCTTGATTCTCTTAGTTTCTAACCTAGGCACGATGAATAAAAACGTAAAATAAGTCGATATACTTGACAGAGTTGATATAATAAGGGAGATTTATCCTCTTTTTGACTTTCTATTAAAGTTCTTTCTTTATGCTTTGTATTGAATTTATTTGCTTGGTTCATCTCCTCTAATGAAACTTTATTAAAATGCTTTTATATCGCATGAACTACTTGCCAAGTTGTACTATTAGCTCAAGCACAACTTTTGTCTCTCATTTTTTTGTCCTTTTGGTATTTTTTCTTTTGCATTTTCTTTTATCGCCACTGGGTGAGTCGCGTTCTATGGGTGTAGAGAAAACATCGCTGAGCGTCGAAGATAGTAATAATAAAATTGTAGCAATTAAAACTTGAAATAATTGGGGTCTTCCTTTTCCCTCTCTCCACACTTTTTCTATCTCTATTACTCTGTTTCCGATCCTTCCTCTCTCCTCTCTCCCAAATACGAGTAATGTGTCTATGTTATAAATTGTTTCTTGCTCAGCGGTTAAGATGCTGACTGCAATATGAGAGTTCGTGCTCTTCCTCCTGTATCTCTTGTTAGGGATGGTTAGAGGTTGAATTGACAGGGAAATGCTTTTCCTTTTTCATGATAAGAGAACTCTCTTTCTATGAAGCTACCAGCCTGTAGTCAACTTTTTTCTTTTTCTTTTGGAATTTACTTGACCGTTACTAGCGGCACATATTAATTTCATCTGATATATCAGGTTATTGGGAAAGGTCGCTTTAGTCACAGGAGGGGCAAGTGGCATAGGAGAGAGCATAGTACGTCTATTTCATAAACACGGTGCAAAAGTATGCATTGCAGACATTCAAGATGAACTTGGACAAAATATTTGTGGTACCCTTGGTAATGACCAGAGTGCATGTTTTGTCCACTGTGATGTTACTGCAGAAGCTGATATTAGTAATGCAGTTGATCTTACCATTCAAAAATTTGGGACACTTGATATAATGGTTAATAATGCTGGGTTGTCTGGCCCCCCTATTCCAGATATCCGTGATTATGAACTTTCTGTGTTTGAGAGTGTGCTTGACGTGAACTTGAAAGGTACTTTTCTTGGAATAAAGCATGCAGCTCGCATAATGATTCCACAAAAGAAAGGATCAATAGTATCCTTGTGCAGTGTCGGAAGTGCCATTGCTGGCGTTGGGCCTCATGCTTATATAGCTTCCAAGCATGCTGTTTTGGGCCTTACACAAAATGTTGCAGCTGAGATGGGAAAACATGGTATACGAGTGAATTGTGTTTCTCCTTACGCTGTTGCAACCGGACTAGCTCTGGCTCACTTGCCTGAGGATGAAAGGACGAATGATGCACTGGCAGGTTTTCGTGCTTTTGCTGAGAAGAATGCTAACTTGCAGGGTGTGGAATTGAAGACTCAGGATGTTGCTAATGCTGTGCTGTTTTTAGCCAGTGAGGAAGCAAGGTATATAAGTGGGCATAATCTGATGGTTGATGGTGGTTTCTCGTGTGTTAATCACTCCCTTAGGGTCTTCAGATAGGTACATGTTTGATAAATCTTTTAAGGAACTTCAGAGATTTGTCATATTTCTAAAAACTATTCTGTTTGTGAATTTTCCATCGAAATAAGCTATGTATTTATTTTTCTAGAAAAGGAATATTTGGCTGGACGAGGTGATCCAGCCGCATCTTCCAGTACAGCTATCTTGTTACGACCTAGTCTTTCATAGCAGTATGTTAAAAGAAAAAAAAGTTGAAAAATAATTTGAGACAACTATTTTTAGTAATTATGACTATTAATATGAGACGGAGGGAGTAGTAACTTGAAAAATAAGTTAAATAAATGGAATGAAAATCATTAGTAGAATGCAATTCCAACTGACTAGTGATTTCTTTATGATTTGCTTTGGAAATTTGGAAGGAAAGCCAACTTTTTCCCTCCTTAACTTTCCTTTCATTTCCCTAATTTCCAAATCCTAGAGTTAATATATAACACCACTTTTCAAAAGGAATTTAAATAGAGAAGTTTAAACTAGAGGAATTGTTAAGAAGAGGTTACCAATGCTGTAACTATTGACTCGTGACTTGCATTTTTATTTTTGATGACGATGGTGTTCGAACCATCTTGTATGTATCTCAATTATTTCATCGGATATCCATTATTTTCTAATACTACAAATACTATATAAACTCTAATAGCTTTGCCAATCAATTAGATAATTCCAAAAAAAATTCGCAAAGGCGTATCTAGGTTAAGGGGTATGGGTTCACGTGGAACCCATGCTCCTCTCCGAGATAATACATAAATTACCCATCAAACTTGTCCGGAAAAATCATTTACATACCTTAACTTTACGGGCGACCTATGTCCCCCCTATTCTTGTTTGGGGTGAATTTAATACTCCATTGGTAACACTTAGTCAGTCTTGTGGTGGGGTGTGTAGTACATGCGCGCAACGTGTCAATATCTGCTCAAAAATGATTTTTTTATGTTTTTACAAAAAAAAATAGTTTTTAAAAATTTGTTTTTTCAGTTTTTACAAAATAAAATTCTTTTAAAAAACTGAAAAAATAAAAATAATATTTTTCAAAAACGAAAATATTTTGTTGAAAATAATTTTTTCAGTTTTTAAAAAACAAAGATATTTTGTTAAAAATGATTTTTTTCAGTTTTTTCAAAAAAAACAGTTTTTACAAATTTATTTTTCCAGTTTTTACAAAATAAAATTCTTTTAAAAAACTGAAAAAATAAAAATAATATTTTTCAAAAACGAAAATATTTTGTTGAAAATAATTTTTTCAGTTTTTAAAAAACAAAGATATTTTGTTAAAAACGATTTTTTTTCTGTTTTTACAAAAAAAAAAATAGTTTTTACAAGTTTGTTTTTCCATTTTTTGCAAAAAAGAAATCCTTAAAAAACTGAAAAAATGAAGAAAAAAAACTTTTTTCAAAAGCGAAAATAATTTGTTGAAAATATTTTTTTCAGTTTTTAAAAAATAAAAATATTTTATTAAAAACTGAAAAAAAAATTCTGTTTTTACAAAAAAAAAATCAGTTTTTACAAATAAGTTTTTACAAAAAAATATTTTGTTAAAAAAAATAATTTTTGCAATTGTGAGAGGAAGAAGAAAAGGTGGAGAGAGAAAACAAAAAGAGAAAAAAATAAGAAAAAAAGAAGTAAACGAAAAAGGGACCCACACAGTAAAAATTTTTCCCTCTTACACGCGAGATTGGGAGAGTGAAACTACTCTCTTTGGCACGTCACCATTTAGGGTGGTCTTAAATTCACCCCAAACAAGAATAGGGGGGACATAGGTCGCCAGTAAAGTTAAAGTGTGTAAATGATTTTTCCGGACAAGTTTGATGGGTAATTTATGTATTATCTCTAATAGTGCTATATTTCATTAAAATTATTTAAAGATATGTGTGTGCGCCCATTCTTAAAGACTCATATGGTGCAATTGGTGCTTACCTGTAAAACGGTTCAGTTGAATTTATACGTGGTTTCTAGAAAGTGAACTAATTTGATCCTGAAAACGATAAATTAAGTAAAGAATTATGCAATACTTAGCTTTAAAATGTAGATGAAACGGCATAGATGATAAGAGGGCAAAGACTGATGTCCCCGAGTCGTCTTCGGAAGTTATGATCACTAGCCCTTCTCCCGGGCCAGTCATAGACACCGCGATGATCGACGATGATGGAGAAGCTAGTCATAATGGGGCTTCTCTACGCAAAAGTTAACGTTCATCATCAACTCAACAGAATGCTCAATCTGTTGAGTTAGTTACACCAACCGAGGACGACACCTCGGCGCTTTGGGCGGAGTTTGATTTAGTGGAAAATGCCAATTCCCGTTTTTGGGCCCCAACTGTTGTTCCCGGTACTACGAGGCTGAGTACCGAGTCCCTAGCATCTTTGGTTGGTGAGCATCCAACAACCAGCACTGCATTTGATGCAGCTGCTTCTCACCCTTGGACTCCATCAACTTCATCAACTTCACCAACACCAGCAACTGCTACATCACTTCCATCTTCATCCACTCTTCCACCAGCAACTGCTACATCATCTCCGCTGGCCGCACCTGCCTACGAAGAGGGTGTTCCTCTTCCCTAGTCCCTAGTTCACAGGAATTTAGGGAAAACTTATGCTGCCCTTTCTGAAGATCCACAAAAGAGGAGGAATATTACCTTTTCGGTCTCCATCGGGTGCAACCTGCTTTTTCAGCCGGTGGAGCTTGCTAATTATCTGAAGCCTTTGGCTTCAGAAAAAGATTAGGAAAAGGTTCGGGCACTCTCGGGAGAGTGTTTGTAGAATAACTCCATGCATAACGCTGCAGCGGTACATTCCTTTCTTCCTTCATTATTTCTTCTATTCTTGGTATGAACGTATCTTGATTTTTACCCTTCTTGCTTGGTAGGCCAACTTTCTTTCTTCTGAGGGCATTCAGAGGTTGATTCGTGATAAGGAAGAGCTTACTTCTACTCAGGATCAGCTTTTGGTAGAGCGGGAGCAAAGTGTTGCTCGCCTCTCGGACCACTAAGGCCGTTGCATTGGAAGCTCGTTTGTAGCAAAGCGAGCAAAAGGTAGTAACCCTTAGCCAAGAAATTGGCCCGTTGAGGGTTAGATTTGACGAAGAGAAGGCCAAATGGGCTAAAGTCTGATCACGTCCAAATGCACGCCTCTAACGAGGTATGACACAGTCGTTTGCAATAATGAAATCCAACAAGGAGTCGGGATCGAATCCACAGGGAGCTAAGATGGGAGTTAGTAGTATATATTCGGAGTGAGTACGTGAAGTATCTAGATTGCACTTCCACAAACAAGGTTTTGTTTTTACTTCTAAAATTAACTAAGGATTGCAAATCTAAAGATATAAAACTAGAGATAATTGTTTTTGAATATTTTCCAAAGATATAAAAAGGCCTAGGGCTGTGACCATGACCTAGGTGTTTGCCTAATGGGATAAAGACTTTTATGTTGTTTTATTGACTGGGGTGTATTATAGCTCACAATACTACGTTGCCCACTCAATACCTCTCGGCCAGAGAGTGGTTTTGCCTAATTTGGCTTTCTCATGACCAAATGAGTATCTACCAAAATGGTTGATAAGAGCTCAAGTCGGGTTGTTACTATCTCTAAGTTGAACCCTTTAATTAGGTTATCAATCTCTCAATTAACCCTATTCCTTATTAGCTAAGTTAACCTAGACTAGGTCTCTCTTTCTCAAGAAGAGACTAAGTCAAATAGGCATAGATCAATGTTTGCAACCATTAATTTCACAATTGAAGCATAAACCTAGCTAAATAACGAACACCTATTCATAAACAAGCACAAAATTAATAACCCATAAGGTTTACACACTAGGGTTGTGTCACAACCCTAGTAAAAATCTAGCCACTCATAGTGGGTATAGAAGAAAACAAAGAAAAAAAGATAATAAAACTCATATTGAAAGATTAAACTAGAGAAATCCAATGTTAAATCACCAAAATAAGCTAAAGTTGCCTAAAGAAGCAAAGAGAAACGGCTACAACACTTTAAATATTCAAAACTTCACCTAAAAAGGTGAAACTCTTCTATTTATAAAACTTTGGAATTTTTGGACAAAAATGCCCTTTCGGAGGTTCTGCGGCCACACAATTCCATGTGTGGTCCGCACTTTGCTTCATCTTAACAAGACTTGGAACAATTCTGAACCGTGGCCGCATCTCTCATTTTCTACGGTCCGCACATTTTCGGGTGCGGCACACAAGGCTCTTCTACGGACTACACATTTCTGAGTACAGCCATGTAGCTGACATTTGCGGCCGCACAATAATTGTGTGATCCGCACTTCCTTCGAACTCGATATGCAAACTCTCTAAAATTTTGCTCTTGCTTAGCTTCTGCGACCGCACTTTGCACTTGTCTCTGATAAGCTTGCCTTCACAATCTACGGCTGCAGATGGAAATCTGCGATCCGCACTTTGAGCTTCTGTGCTTGTTTTTATCCTTGTGTTCATATCACTCCTTCTTGAGTTGGATTTCATCTTAGTGGCTCATTTTCCAATACTCCTGCAATTAAACATATTTCATCAGTTTTCGGGAACACAAATTAAATGCTTTTGGACTAAAATGAAAGCTAAAAGCTGCTAATAAGTAGTCAATATCCCCATTTATCAAAGTCCATGACGGCGTTCTTGCGGCAACCGAGTGCGAGGCTGCCACTGTTGAAAAAGTGACTGACTTAGAGGCACCCTTGAACTCCAAAATCGAAGAGCTTGCTGCTGCGGGGGCGAAAGATGCACAGTTGGAAGAGAAGTACAGGAAAACTATCGAGCATAATAGGCTCTTTAGTTCAACTATCTGTGACCTTGATGTTAGCCTCAGATATGTTAGGTCCACCCGGGAAAGCTTTTATGCCGAGGTATCCCAACTCATAGAAGAACTTAAGCGCCGAGCGGTTTCCCTCGTTGTAGAGAAAATTTACGCCATGTACGGCATGAGGAAAAAACCTTGGAAGAGGCCAAAGCAGGTATCATTGATTTTGATACCGAAATTGCTAAGACCCGTGAGCTTGAGTTAGCTGCTAAAAATAGGCTCCCAGTGCAGTCTGATGCTCCTGGTCCTTCTGGTTTCGATTCCGGGTTCTCGGGAACTGAGAGGAACCGGAGGACGATGATGCTGAAGACTAAACCGGGGAAATGTCGAGCCATC